AAGGTTGTGCCACCAAGAAATGAATCCATTTACTACCAAAGAATGTTAAGCTGGGTGGATTCTCTCTACCAGTTTCTCTGTGCCTTGCTTGTGCCTCTGAAGCACTCTTTTATTCCTGAAGAATTCAAAACATGAAGACAAGCTGTTGAAAGTCAGAGAGGAAAGGCGACCCTGAGTTATGCCCAACAGCTGTTCTGTCTCTTTGATGTTAAAAATCAATTGCCCAAAGGAGCAAAAGAGAAAACTTTTCAATCTTTCAATTACATTCTTAGATCTCATAGCATTTTACATTCGAACCTAGAGCAAGAAAGCCTGGTTAAAAAAGAAAAAGAAAAAGAAAAAGAAAGTGACCCTTATATGGCAGGAAAAATCATGATTGTAGTCATTCTTTGTTCTTCTTGAAAACTTCATAACTTCAACCATGTGACACACAATAACTCTACTCCAATTTACCACTGTGGTTCATGAAAATTAAATTTATCACACAGCTGACTTTAAATAAGGCATCTAACATACCTTAAACATGACAGAGGAAAACATATATATGTTGTCCTTTTTAAACTTCCACTTCCTATAAGATGTGTTAATAGCAAGATACTGCAGAATGGACTATAGTACATTTTGAGATCACAGAACATCTTAATCATCTTTAGAGCAGTAACTTTTCATCAACTTGCTGCTCATTAATTTAGAAAGAAAACACAACTGAAGAAGGCAATTCACTTTCACAATATTAACATGTTAATCCTTTATTTGTACAGAAACAATAGCACTAATTATGGTGGAACCTTACAGCATTCATTGAAATATTCATGAGCACTAAGGGCATGTATACTGATGAGCACTGAGTAATGTACAGAATTATTCAATTGCTCTGTTGTACAACCAAAGCTCATATAACAGTGTATGTTAATTACACTTGGATTAAAAAAATGGTAAAAACCAATTCAATAGCACTTAATTGACATGAAAAAAGATAATTTGACACACTCTTGAAATGTTAGTGCTACAGGTGCAGTAAAGATAATTTAGAATATTTATTAATTTTCAGATTTGGAAACTGAGGCCCAGAGAGGTAAAGTACTCCTCACCCAAGTCTGTGCAGTTGGTTAACTATGGAGAAAGGTCTAGAACCAGGTCTCTTAGCTCCCTGTCAAATGCTCTTAATATCACACTACGGAGTACCTGAATCTCAAAGAAAATCAAATCCAGACATGCTGTCTGAATGCCTGCATCATACAGTGAACTGTCCTAAGCCCTAGAAAAGAAATGGTCATACAAAGATGACGCTGCTTTTATTAAGGAAACTTACGGTCTTGTGAAGAAAATGAACCTGAAAAATTGTTTAAATTATAGTTCCACATCTGAATTCAAGAAATAAAAATATGTGACTATTTTGCACGTTGATGTGTGCTTCCATAAATATTATAGAAGCTCTACTCCCATGAGAAGGGGAGGTGGAGAAATGTTGGGGGAGGAAGTGGGAGGTGAACTGGATCTTGAAAACTGGGGAGGATTTTTAAGGGGAGAAAGATAAGAGGCATTTTAGGAAGATGGAACTGTGTGACTAGATACACATTCTCGTATCTGCAAAGAGCTCCACAAAACATACTACATTATCACTCGTATTAGGTAAGTGATAATGTCACTTAGCGTAAGGGCAGTTTTCATCAAGAAGAGCAATTAAATGCTTATCATCTGTCCTGGTGAACTGGGAAAAAAGACAGGAACTGGGAACAATGAATGCATTATTTTATTTACAGCTGGCCCTTGAACAATGTGGGTTTGAACTGCGTGGGTCCACTTATGCACAGGCTTTTTTCAATAAACACAGGACAGCACTGTAAATATATGTTTTCTGGCTTATGATTTTCTTAATAACATTTTCTTTCTCTAGCTTCCTTGACTGTGAGACTACAGTATATTGCACATGTAATACATAGAATATATGCTAATAACTATTTATGTTATTGGTAAGGCACCCAGTCAACAGTAAGCTGTTAATAGTTCCGTTTTGGGGGAGTCAATATGTGGATTTTTGACTGCACAGGTGGTCAGCACCCCTACTTCCCACATTGTTCAAGAGTGAACTATATAATTGAGTGAACCTCATTATTCCACAAAGAAATTGAGGTAGTTTTAAGAATTGGAAATAAAACTTGAATAAAATAATTTAAGGAAAATGATAAGCCCGGAATAAAAGCAGCACCTACAGAAAAGCAGACTATACAGTCCGGATGGCTGTTAGTCAGAGGTTGGGGGCAAGGGAGATGGAAATAGAGTTGACCCTTTTTAGTGTTTACAAGATTTTTCCTGTGTTAGATTAAAAATAAAGGAAAAAAACGTTCAATTCAGAAGCAGAACCTTTCCCAATACCGAGATGAGAGAAATTCTCCTGAGTCCTCATAAAGAAGACACTGCATGAGGTAGTAAGTGCTGTTCCCAAGCCCATCCCTGATTCTATGGTTATGAAGAGCAATTGCACACGGTGGCCCTCATACTACCACTCAGTGCAGGACAAACACATCACATTTGGGTATGATCAATTACAAAACAGTGTGGCCTATATGCTTAGTCCTCCCATAATATAAGAGGAAAATTCAGAATATGTACTGGATTGGAGGGACTATATATCCTTCAGTTCATATAGATTCATTTATTCACTCAAAATTTATTGATTGCATACAAGGACATGGGAATATAGCCATGAATAGAAGGGATAGTCACTCTCATGAGTTAAATAGTCTAGTGGTGGGAGAAGGATCATAGACAAATATATGTTAGGGGAACCTGGGTGGCTCAGTCATTTAAGCATCTGCCTTTGGCTCAAGTCATGATCCCAGGGTCCTGAATTAAAGTCCCACATCCAGCTCCCTGCTCAGCGGGGAGTCTGCTTCTCCCTCTATGCACCACTCCCCCACCCCCAGCTCATGCTCTCTCTCAAATAAATAAATGAAATCTTAAAAATATATGTGTGTTGGATGATGATAAATACTATTTGGGAAAAATAAGGCAGGACAAAGTGACAGAGAACATGATGGGCAGTGTGAGGTTGGCAGTTAAGAAGGGTAATCATAGACAACCCCTCTGATTGGGCAATGTTTGCACAGAAACCAGTGTGATAGGAGGAAGGATACTCTAAGATGTCTGGGAGAGAAGTACTGCAGGCAAAGGGAACAGTTAGTGCAAAGGCCCCAAGAAAGAAGCATGCTTGGCATGTCTGAGTAATGGCAAGACACCCAGCCAGGCAAAGGCAGGGGAAAAGTCCTATGAAAATGAGCGAAACAGGATGAGCTGAGAAAAAGGAGCAATGGCAGAATCAATCTTTGCTTCAGAAGTCTCCTACTGTGTCTGCTTCAACACAAGCCAAGGGTAATTGAGGAGAGCCAGTGTATACCATACACAGAACATGACCATCCTCCTGTCTGCTTAACCACTGTGCTAAAATAGCACTGAAATCACCCACCACAGGCATGGGCTTTTGTCTAAAGCCCAACTACACTACATGGACAATAGCAGAACATGAAAACTAAGCTTATCCTTTCTGACACTTAAATATCCACAGAAAATTCTAAATTGGCATCCTGGTAAAACCGCCAAAGTTTTTTGAATATAAATTGCACCTCTATGTAACCAACATTCATCACATTTAAGCCAACGGAATGCTACAGGGCATCTTTGGAAGGTGCTGACTTTGATTTTAAAGAAAATCTGGGGGCGCCTGGGTGGCTCAGTGGGTTAAGCCTCTGCTTTTGGCTCAGGTCGTAATCTCAGGGTCCTGGGATCGAGCCCCACATCAGGCTCTCTGCTAGGTGGGGAGCCTGCTTCCCCCTCTCTCTCTCTGCCTGCCTCTCTGCCTACTTGTGATCTCTCTCTCTGTCGAATAAATAAATAAAATCTTTAAAGACAGTCTGGCAATTGTGTGAGAGCAGAATCCACCATCTACTGAAGGCACTTACGTGTGCCAACAGAACAGTATCATCAATTTAGAGAAGATAATTTATGTTTGTTTCCCCTTAGCAGGCGACATGCATCCAGAACACTGAAAAATAGTATCCAATCATTTAGACACAAGTAAAGAGAAGGAGGGGAAGAAAAATATCCCTTTATGCCACCAGAAATGTTTGTCTCTTCGGAGCCTGTTCTATAAGCCTCATGTGATCCTTTAACACATACTGAGACACAAGATCTATTAAGATTATCAATAATTGGTTGCATATTGAGTTTAGAGATCTGAGTCCATCAGCAATTCCCCAGAAAAATTAATAGCAATAAAATAAGCAAATATTGTGCATCATTCATTCATTCATTCATTCATTCATTTTATTTTAAATTTTTAGAGGTTTTTTAAAAAAGATTTTATTTATTTATATGAGAGAGAGAGCATAGAGGGAGTGTGAGAGGGAGAAGCAGACTCCCCACTGGGCAGAGAAACCGATGTGGGGCTCAATCCCAGGATCCTGAAATTATGACCTGAGCCAAAGGCAGATGCTTAACTGATGGAGCCACCCAGGCACCCCTCCTTTTTTTTTTTAAATTATTTATTCATTTGTCAGAAAGAGAGAGAGAGAGAGAGCACACACAAGCAGGAGGGGTGGCCCGCAGAGGTTGAGAAGCAGGTTCCCTGAGAGCCTGACATGGTGCTCGATCCCAGGACACTGGGATCATGACCTGAGTGGAAGGCAGACACTTAACCAACTGAGCTATCTAGGTGTCTCTTGTGTACTGCTCTTGACAGATTCTGTCTCAAAGTGACACAGAATACATCAATGACCTCTAATGGACCATCTGTGTCTAAAGGCTACCTTCACTAGACCAGGAGTATTGGAGTAAGAAAGCTACACTTGTCATTTCTGTCAAGAAGAAAACTGACATAGAGATTGGTTGTCCAATATGAGTTTACAAATTGAACCATTAGTATCAAAATCTAGATAATATTAGTGTATACATTCAACAGGAAAAATTTTTAAAAATATGTGAAGTTCAAAGGACACAGTTACCTGCTCGGCCAACAATGAAGCTAAGCTAGAATACGCATCTGCAAACTCGGGACCATATTTAATGGAGTCCTTCAGCAAGGTGATAGCCTCTTCTTTTTTCTCCTGGGACCTAGAGATTATAGAGAGGGAAAAAAAACAACATCTTTTAATAACACTTTGTTTAAATCCTCTGATTAGATGCTGAGATCTCATTTCTTTTAGCAAAGATAACCTGATTCCCTCTGAATTTCACTGCAAATGAATTAAACTGGATTGTCTCAAGGTGCCAATAGTTTCTGCTTCTGAATTCTCAGTGGAAAGAGATGTAAATGATCCTGCAGTTTATTCACTGATATTTCTACCTTCTCTTTCCTGCTATGCACTTTCTTGAGAGCTTTAGTATTTTACAAGTTTGTTAACCAGAAACCTCAACCCTCAGAGGAGCAATTGTGGAGGCATTCGTGGGAGCCATCTCCCAATGATGTGGAAGGTGCGTTGAGCATCTGGACGACTACCGCAGCAGCTGAGCCATCTTTCAGGGACAAGCCAGCCAAACTGCTCACGTGAACCTGGGCTTTTATATCTAAGAGGCAACGATTTATACATAATATGTCAAGTTAGGAAATACTGTGACTATTGGCTGGCAAAGAATGACTGGCTATTTTATCATCAAAGTTTTATTGAAAATCTGGGCTGGTTCTGTTTTCTTCATTTTAGTCTTCTCCTGAAAGTGATTATTTCTGGTTCAGAGAGGACTCAAGGCCCCAGAATTATTACCAATATTTTGGGTGGCAGTTCTCTTTCCTGCTAGTGCCACAGGGGAGGCACATGGCCATTATCCTGATATATCAGTATTTTTATTTATTTATTTTTAAAGATTTTATTTATTTATTTGACAGACAGAGATCACAAGCAGGCAGAGAGGCAGGCAGAGAGAGAGGAGGAAGCAGGCTCCTCTCTGAGCAAGAGAGCCTGATGCAGGGCTCGATTTCAGGACCCTGGGATCATGACCTGAGCTGAAGGCAGAGGGTTTAAACCACTGAGCCACCCAAGTGCCCCCTGATATATCAGTATTTTTAAAGCCAAAAACACACACACTGGCAGTGATCAACTTTGCTACTAATACAATTTCACAAACACTGACCACTTGCCAAGTGCTAGGCACTGTAACTGGTAAAAGAAGTGGAATGAAAAAACAGAAAAACAAGAATCCCTGAACTGTAGAGAGCACAGCCTAAGGGTCCCTCCCATCTTTACTGGGTACCAATATAGAATTGTGTGCTTCTGTTTTCACTATTTAGGGTCAATGATCATTTACTTGGCAATGTACCTTATGCTCTGGTAAATTTTCACAAAACAGGTATTAATTTTCACAACAATCCATGCAGCAGGTGTTCATTGCCCTATCATATTAATTTTTCTAATAAGAAAACTTGGATTCAGAAAAGCTGAGTGACACATCCAGTTGATATAACCAGTCTTCTGCATGGAGAGCCAGTGCTCGTCCATCACACCCTATGTGCTTCTTCTAACCACTTAGAAACCCACCTCTTAATGACCTTGCTGCTCAACATATGATTCATGCACCAGTATCATCCACCTCACCAGGAGCTCATTAGAAATGCAGAGCATCCAGCCCCATCTGGACCTCCTGAATTGAACCCTACATTCTAAAAAGATTCTCCAGTAATTTGTTTGCACACTGAGATTTCAGCAGAGTTGCTCCAGAAATTAGCCAAGGCAGCTCAGTGTAGCTCCTGCTGCAAAACCCCCATGGTTTTAGTCTCTGTACGATGAAGATCTGGAGAGGGAAAACCAATATTGACTCCATGAGTCTGAGTTCCAAGTGCTAGAAGCAGCATGCTACAAGGCAAGTTTACCTGGAAAAGAGTCTTCTATCATAGACCTTGAAAACACAAAAGTCATGTTTCCAGCACAAGCCTTGCATTTAATTTAGCCAACATCTATCATCGGTCTATTACATGTTAGCTATTTCCTAAGGGAGGTGGCTGTCCATGCTATCCTATTCTCACTGGGGGTGAGCGAACTCCTACTGGACTCCTGGCACAGTCCTGCCCTTGAGAACAAGGCGTAACACCTGTGTGCTTCACTGGATTATTCTGGGGATATGGCTCGAAAGTTGCAGGGTTATAAGTAATGTGCACCACAGCTCTCTTAGTGATTTTTTTTTTTAATGGATTCATTCATTTAGTCAACAAACATTTAAACAGTGTTTGTGAGACTCTATGGAAGTCCACTAGGTTTATGTACTCCTGGGTTTCTAATCTAAAATATATCCTGAAGCACTTCTTCCATAGGCACATGTAAATGCAAGCTTCTTTTTTAATCCTGGTCATTTGACTATTGACTTCATGGTTAGCAGAACTCTTCCTCCAAGGATTTCATAAATTTTTAAAAAGATTTATTTATTTATTTTAGAGGGGAGGGATTGAAGCAGGGGGCAAGAGAGTCTCCTGATATGGGGGGGCTCAACCTCATGACCCTGAGACCACAACCTGAGCCAAAACCAAGAGTTGGATGCTTACCCAACGGCACCCCCTAAATGCCCCTCAAAAACTTCATTAATTTGGAAATCCTCCCAAAATCCAGAAGAAGATTCAAACTTAGGAAATTAAGGCTGAAGATTAAGCCCCACGGAATATAATTGGGCTAGGATATTCTTCAGAATCAGCAGGAAAAAAACCTACAACAATTTGATAATAAAAATTCAGTGATTTTCATTTTTCATGGCTCACATCAGTTAGAACAACAGCTTAAACCTTTTATATATGAACTTGGTGAGATTAATTACCACTTAATGCAGCCTAGGAATCTAAACACTTGAGGCTGTCCATTAACATTCATAGGACACAGCGGAAAAGTTAGCAACAAAGTTCCTCACAGGAAACTTAATTCTTTATGAAAAACTCTATTAATCTCTTGAAGGATGGACACATTTTCAGAAAAATAGCTCACCATGTAATTTGGGTTAGTACAGGAGGATTGCAAGATGCAAAGATAAGACTTTTCCTCTTGTCTCTGCACTTCTGGGTGATTCTGCTTTTCCCTGGGAGCCTTCAAGAATCATTAGACACCAAGAGGTGTCAGGCACATGCCACTTTTAACACATACTTAAATTTTTTTTTTTTAACAAAACCCTGAGAAACTCATAAGCAGTAATTTTGCTGTTTTTGTTTCTGAAAGGGAGAGAAATAGTGGGGAGAGACGGTTCCTCTGTAGTGTCTCTTTTGCTCAGTCTTTGGTGGGAGCTTATGAAATAGGTGTGGTTTTGACATAGTAACTTAGAGCAGATAACTCATCTCCACAGGACCTTCTCTGGTCATATAGCACCATAATTACCACATGAGAACGGAACTTCATTTCCATCTGATTCTGGTTTCAGAGGCATCCCTTTTCCTATCCACATTACAGCTCATGTTTCTCTACTATCTCATACTAATTAAAACATGGCAGCAATACTCCTGCAATTCTCTCAACTAGACTATGCCTTACTTAGTTTTGCTTGCTCACACCTTCGTTCCCGACCTGTTTCTAGTTCCCTCTTTCTTCTCCTTCTACTACATGCAGACAACTGACAGATACATTTTTTCTACAGCACTGCCTTCAACACATTCCTTTATATAAAAATCTTCATTGAGGCCCTGCTGCATACAGACAGTTTAAAACCTTCCAAAATGTGGTTCTGAGCAACATTCCAAACATAACCAGGTACCCACTGGTCCAGCCAGACTACATTGGCATTTATCCTACAGAATCTGAGAGATCACCAACTCCACTGCTTTTCTACCCTTCATCAGCGGGGAAGAGGGTGAGATTCCGATGGTGTCGGTGATTTGTCCTGGTCCACTCAAGAAGGCCAGCCTCCCAGAGGGACAGTTGCTCTTTGTTTTTCAGCTCAACATTCCAAAGAGTATCTGGGCTGCACTCACTTTTCTTCTCCAAGGCCCTGGCACAGCACAGAGGGGCCCCTGTCCCTGCCTCGTGGAGGGGGGTGTGTCTGTCCACCCATGAGTGGGCCATGCAAGCAAGTTGTCAATAGTTCCCATTTCCCAGTAGTTGTTTGATGAACATTTACTCTCTGCTAAGGATACAGTAAGTGAATCTTTTGCAGTCTTTATTTTAATTCTCAAGTATAATGAATTAGGCATAATTACTTCCATTTTTAAGATTCTGAAAACAATACCAGCAACCAACACCTGAATAAAATAAACAGCTTTGGAGAGCTAAGTGACATGTGCCCAGCACAGAGCTACTATGACACCAGGATTTCATCTACAACTTCGAATCTGTCCTGTTCCACCGGCTGGCCACACTCAGCATGTCTGCGTTCACTCTCTAAAATGTTAGGTGCTCTGAGGCAATTACTAGGTTTTAAGCTCCTTCATAGACAAGACCTATGTCTTATTAATCTTACTTCTTTTATCCCAGTGACCTGTACATAGTAGAAATTCAGTAATTGTTAAATTAACTTAAAAAAAACATGGTTTTACTATTCTCTTATTCTTAATCTTTGTAAATCTTAAATAAGCATTTCAGTATCCCAATGAATTAGAGGTGGATAATGTTATCATCCACTTTATATCTCCATTTTACAGTTCTTTCAATATTACAGAAGTAATTCTAAGGAAGACAGAAGCATCCCAAGCTTTAGAATCATAAGAAAATGACAAATATAGTTTTTATTTATTGAGCATTTCCTCCTTACTAGGTATGACTTAAGCAGCTTCTCTACCTTAACTCTGTTTAGTGGTTAAAAGCACAAATTCAAAACCCAGAAGGACGGGCTTTGAATTCTACTTCTACCATTTACTGTTGTATTTCTTTAGGCAAATTATCAGACCTCCCTGTGTCTCAGGTACAGGGTAAGTACTGTGCATGCTTTGCCTTTAATTAGCTTATTTAATGTTCCTAAAATCACTCATTACAACCTATCTCCCTTTTTAAAAATTAATTTTTTAAAACAAGAAGAATGTAATCTCCTCTTACTTTATTACAAAAGTAATATACTTTCAGGGTATGTGGGTGGCTTAGTCGGTTAAGCGTCTGACTCAATTTTGGCTCAGGTCATGAAGTTAAGGTTGTGGGATTGAGTCCCAAGTCAGGCTCTGC